ATGTTCAGTTTTTCATCAACCAGCCTATGTGTCCTGTCTTAGCTTGACAGCTCACAAAAAAATCACATAGCAAAAATGAATTAGTGGGAGTTATACAGGCCTTGTGAAGCAGCGTACCAATTTTACTCATTCCGGTTATTATTCCAGTAGCACTAATCTACATACCCTTCCTTACACGTGTAAGAGACCGTGTTTCCAAAAGTAAAGTTATTTCCATTGATAACCGCATCTTTAATGGCAGGAGGGGATCCACACGAGACAACGTTGCAAGCTGGAGGTGTGCTGTTCCAGTTCCCTGAAGATGCACAGACAAGTACAGAAGGTCCCTGAAGGCTGAGACACAAAGATCGTTATTAAGGCTAAGGCTGCCACTCCAGCCCAGGTGAGGAACAGAGAGAAAGAGGTGCTTTGCTTCTCACTGACTTCCTGGCCCCAGTGAAACCAAGTGGTTGCTCACTGACTTCAGTAGAGGCCCAGAATCTCACCCTCTGTTCATGAAAAAGCACTGCTGATGCTGTCAAAAAAGATGGTCCTCTGGTTATTTTGAAGAGAGCCCTGTGGAATTCATGTGGGGTCTCAATGCACTGGGCAGACACACTCATAACTTCTGCTCTAGCTCTGCCCATCTTTGAGTCATATAAGAAAGTCACGGGCTGCTTAAATATTTATTTAAGCTTAAAGATTTCCTTGTATGCCATCAACACCATGCCAATCTTGGGACTTGGAACCAGGCTTCAGTTTGAGACTTGGCTGACTCCAGGACTTAAAACACTATTTTAATTCAGAAAACTGAGGGAAATGCTCCGGTTCAGGTTTGTTTACGGAAAGGCATTCAGGAGGTAAAGAATTTGCTTGCGTGAACGGCCACATACATCTGAGGTCGATGGTTTAGCGGGGGAAACAGCAATGCATTGGTACAAAAGCTGTGACTCAGTTGTCTAAACAGAGGTACTCCACACCACCCTGGGGTTCCCTGGGTGAACCTCCTGGCCTCCAGCTGCTATGCCAGCTGGCTACGCATTCCCAGTCACACCTGAGAGCCTTACATAGGTATGTCTGATTCCCTACGACTTAGTCTCAAGTATTAGATCCCCACGTTTAGCTGACTGACATGAGCTCAGGGGTTAACGGAAGAGAACACTGCTGACCTGCAAAGCACCTCCAGTCATGGCACAGGCCCTTGTCAGGGCAGTGGGCTCCGCCTACCTGTGGCAATATGTTTAAGGCAAAAAGCACATCAGAGGTGCCTGAAGGAAGAGACTGGTTCCACACTTAGGTCCAGAAATAATACATAAAAGGGACACTGTTTGGGAGAGCTTCTCCTGGACTGGTGACCACAGGAGAGAGGACTACCCTCACCAAGCTATGCTAGACAGGTAAAGCCAAAGACTCACAGCTGATGTGGTATTTGCTGTCTGTACGTCCTAAGTCCATGTTCAAAAAACTCATTGACAAAAACACTTGCCTGGTTTAGTGGGGTATAGGTAAGCCCACACTGTGGATCTACGCCTTAACATTGCAGCTGAGGTATGCCTTTGTATTAACACGGTTAAAACATTCACCAGATGAGCACACCTCACCTACCTGCCTGCAGCTGGACTGCAAGGGAATGCCTGCAGCAGGAAAATACAGAAAAACAGCTGACCTAAACTGGTCTACATGTCACAGTAAATCTGCTTATGTCAGAGTAAATCTGCTAGAGGTACAAGCAGATATAAGGAGAGGCAGAAATTTGCACTTAAAGCCATATTCTAGGATATAGCATTACTGTATTAATTTTTAATTGTAGCATATTGAAAATGTATTTCCAATATAATTGTTTACAAATGTAAAACAGAATAAAAGCCTAAAATACATAACTACTACAGAGAGTTCAAGGCATAAATAAGTACATTCCAGAAGGTTCTTTCATCAAAGGCACTGTAAAGCAAAAGCAAAAGTAATGTTGGATATATGCTCAAGCTGTAGGGGTACTATAATCTTTAAAGATAAATGAGAACTTCTAAAAATAATTATAACTATTTTTCTGAATATTCAAAATATGTCTTTGAGCTTGACAGTAAAGTGACAGCATGCACATATGTATCTTTCTATATATACATCTCAAATTCTGAATGACCTTGAACTGCTCCAATTAAGGATGAAACACAGAAAGTACCTTCAAGATAGAAACTGTTTAAGTGTTTTATCTTTCTGAGCAACGATCCCAGCTTTGTCTCTTTCAGAAAAAAGTCACACCTTCTAGCAAGCACACTGCCTGCATTTGGCTCAGGAACGCTCCTGCATTTACCTGTATCCATTGTCACAGGTGTAGGATACAGAGGAAAGGTAGGTTGTGCCAGTGATTGTGTATTTTCCGTTACTGATATCCTGTGGGCTAGGACAAGTCACCATTTCACAGGAGGGGGGAGGATGACTCCAAATGCCACTAGCAAGGCACAGAATTTCCTTTTCACCCACTAGCTTGTATCCATCACTGCATCTGAGTTAGAAGAACAGAAGTGCTGTCAAACACAGAGACTTTTATGCACAATGTTATCAGCCATCTCTTTTCTCTCTTCATCCACACCTGCATACACCATCTTCCTCTGCCGGGAGTAGAGAGGAGGTGCTGGAGTAAACATTCAGCTCTGCTAGTGAACAGCCACAGCTATAGCCCAACGTTTCTCCACCACTTTAATCCCATCTTGCTTCCCTCCTTCATTTCAACCACACTCTCAAATCAACCATACTCTCATCTGTTGCCAGATTCTCAATCAATAATTAACATAGCACTTCAGACATACTGAATTCCTACCTGTACACCACCTTATTGCGGTATGTAAAATCTGAGCCCATAATGGCACTGTTCGCTGGAATAACTGGACCACCACAGGATATAGCTTTAAAAAGACAGGATCACAAGAGAGGTTGATACAACACAAAAAATAAAGAACAGAAGTTCAGTATTTGCTTTATTTTCTCTAAAGAGGTTTGAAGAGGTGTAAAGCCCTAGGTAACACTGGCTCGACTAAGCTATAACCAACATGTAGGGCTCTTTACCTGACCTCACCTTACTGAGAAAATGGACTGACTGGAAACAGGTTGTTGGAATTGTTCTACAAACCAGACGTTTGACTGCCAAGAGGAGTCCATATCCACCCCTCCCTATGGACAACACAGTGTTTTTCTGACATTGTGTTTGTCACCGCTTACCCTGTTGCTTCACCATGTTAGTTCTGGTTTTCTAAAGAAACAATTTCTGCAGTAATACCATGTGTATGTACATGCACCAGCCTGTCCTCTCTGGTTGCTTTTTATCCACTGAAACAGTTAAGACATTAAGTTCCCACAAGTTCCTTCAAAATGGGAGGCTGGATAAACAAGAAAGACACTTCTAATGCCTGCATTACAATGAGATGAGTCTCCTCTGACACTTCAGAGAATCTGCATGAGTGTAACACTATGATTAAGGCAACTGTTGGGAAAGCTTCAGCTGGTGTCTGCATCTCTTATGACAACAGAAACTTCAACAGTGAGACCCAGGTCTGTTATGATGGGGTTTCATTAGCTGCCGTGGTGCCTACAGGCTCTAGCACTACTCTGCCCCTTCCACCTCTCTAATCACGCACATTACAATACGCATTATCCCCAGGAATCAAACCTTCACAATATGGTAGTGGGTGGCTCCACTCTCCAGACTCCATGCATGTGAGTTTAGTTACTCCTGTCAGCTGAAACCCTTCTTCACAGGAAAACCTTACTTCACTGCCAACACTGTAAGTGTCCCCGTATAAGTGGCCATGCTCTGGATTTCCTGGATTACGGCACTTCAGTGGTTCTGAAGAGGAAGAGAGAAATCATCAATAACATAACTAATTTCCATGTTTAATAAACAAGTTGCAGGAGATATCCTTGGTAATCTTCTGAAAGTAGGAAGGCAGAGCACTTGGAAAACACTAAGTAGTTTATAGCCTTACCAGCTTTTCTCTGTTCTGTATACGACAGCCACTGAAGACTCATGAAAGTAAGCTAATCTTGATATGGAAGAGCCCTCTGTAACTGAGCTTGCATTCACTGTCAGAAGCAAACACATCTCACAGTCATTTGTACCTCTGTGTGGAAAAGCCTATTTCAGCATGTCCAGCCCTGAACGTGAAATCAGCTCAGCTACCTTTTATCCCACCCTATGCCTCTGTCTTGTCATCTTCATGCAAAGTTACCTGGCCTAACGTTTGCACAGGCGGCTCAAGCCCTACTCAGATGCCTGTAATCAAATATTTCTTCACTGCACAGCTCTGCTCTGAGAAGTGACACGCCGTGCCATGCAGCCTTCCCAGGTCTTCAGCATGTCCTCCATGTGCAAGAGGATTTTGCATGTATGTATGTCTCGGAGCAGAATCCCAATGACAGCAGCCTCCATAGAGAGAGGTCAGCTCTCAAGAAACAGAAGGAGACACTTCATCATAACCTCATTCAGGCCTGGAGATGAGAGCATGCCTGCGCTGTCCCTCCCTAGGTATCAATTATTGGAAACTCTTTTCCACAGTGGGAGGCAGGATACTGGCCTACACAAAACCTTGGAAAGGCTAGCCTGATGGTTTTTCTTTCCCATACCTGCACATTTTTTACCATCTCCTGTGTAAGGAGGGATGCATGTGCAAACATAGGATCCATTTGTGTTGAGACATGATGCATGCTCATCGCAGTCTGATCCAACAGCACACTCATCAACATCTACAAAAAAGAAACAAAAAGATGTCTCTGGGGTGATATTTGTAACGACCATCTGCTTTTAATTTCTGTCTCACTGTCAAGAGGAATTGTTTAAATTCGTATAATTAAAAATCACTCTTCAATCAGATTTTTGATGCACTAGTAAAACTATTTAATATTTAAATCAATATTTATGCTTTCTACATGGTTTACTCTACAACACAGCTATACTATCCTGCTATTGTGAAACCTGAGAAAACCGGAGACAAATCCTATTAACCTTCAGTCAATACTTCCACAAACAGTATCTAGTTTCCAAGCAGTAAAAGAACAGACATTGTAATTCATGTGCTGTTACTACTAAGTTGGACACACACTGTGAGGGAGGAGTTCTGGATTAAACACTTGCTTGAGAAATCCTCTATATCTCAAACTTCCCACCTGTAAGACAGGAAAAGTTAGCCAGCAGGAGAAACACCCTGAACATAAAAATTATTAGAGCCCCATCTTTGCTGAAGAGAACTCCATTAGACTAGGAATGAGAAGTGCCTGCAGTTGGCAGAAAAGTTAAAATGAATTCGAAATATGTTAGTTATTATAATTAACTATTTATATGATAGCAGTGCCTAGAAATGCCGATTGATGATTTATGCTCCATATAGCTTGGTACTGTCCCTCACTCTAGAATACTCCATATCAGCTGTCAAATCCTGACTGTACAGAAGTGTTGTTGGTATGTGAACAATGAGTCATAGATTGCAAGGGCCAATTTCAAAGTATCCAACTGAAAAATGCTGGCATCAGGAATTATTCCTTATATAAACCAGACTGTTAAAGATAGATTAGATACAACAATTCTCAGTTTAAAAGCCCTGCTCCAGGACTGCTGTTGAACTAGGTATACCATGCAGACATATAGCTGGAGTTCTTTGCCCATTTCCAGGCAAAAAAGCAACTTGGTTAAAAAAGCAACAAAATTTACTGAATTGGTGTGTTTGTTTTTCACTGCTCAGTAAGTCTGGCCAGTGTGAAAAGAACCCAACAATGTTCTGAAAAGGGGTTTCTTTCTGACATGCAGGATGAAAACTGCACAGTAAAATCAAAGCAGCTGCCAATTACAAAAGCATCAGGAGAATGCAAAGTGGTACCACAGCAGAACTGGAATGACTGCTCTCCTGTAATGTCCTGTAAGGCAAGGAAGACTGGAAGGACACTATCAATCAAATCCATAAGAGAGCAAAAGGAATGCCCCAGGGCATAGGTGTACCAGGCTTTGTTAGCACCTGCCTGGAATGTGACTCTGAAGGTGGATCAGGGTGCCAAAGCCACTCTCGTTTTCATTTTCCCCTTGGTCTACTCTGCTTTATGAGAGACATGGCAAGCTGGAAGGTGGGGCACAGGACTTTTCCTTCTCAACATCATGCTTCCTACTGCACAGATGTCGAATTATTTGGACAGCCTTGCAGCACCTGCTCTGAGCCTGCTCATCTTCAGGCCTTGGTATAAAGTGCAGAGGAGAAAAGCAGAGGAAGAACAGACTGGATGGGCTGTTCAGAGGTTCTGAAGGAGTTTGGTAGACAGGGTGCTGTGAAACCAGATGGATCCTACTCCAAAGTGAATTATGGTAGAATTCAAAGACTGTTGGCTTTTCTTTTGCTCATCTTGACTGAAAAAAAATTATGTGCTATGCCTCCATAAAATGAAGAGTTAAATCAAACACAAATCTTGCCAGGTTGTTACCCTGCAACTCCCATCTTAGGCATGACTCAGACAGCAGCTATCCAATTATTACTAGCTAGTGGATTCTATGAGGGATCTGCTGGAGACACGGCCCTACAAGAAGAGTCACACCTAGTCCTCTGTAGGCAGTACAGTGCTGGTCTATCTCTAACAACTAGCAATGGGCTTGAGCTGGCTTCCACTCGTGTATTCATTCCCGGATACTGGGGATACCCAGTGTCATGATGGTGAGCACATTACAGAGACTGGTAATGGGAAACACATTGGTATTGTGACTGAACTTGTACGGCAATTGATGTATTTTGCTAAGTGTAGCTTTCATAACTGTGCATATTTTGTATCATTCTGCTACATCAGAAATCCTGTGCAACATCAGCTATCTTCAAGTAAGTAAATTTGCTATTAAACGTTACAACCTCCATGCATGGAACACCTGAAAAAACTTGGTCAAGGAGTATGGGTCGCTGAGAGTGTTCTGAAGCACAGGGAAATGGTCAGGTTAGAAGCAGAGACTGCAAGAACTCCAGTGCTAAATGAACGTGGAAGGAGAGAGGCTGGGAGTGCAATGCACGCTTATCAATTATTTGGTGCGGGACACACAGGAGGACCGACAAAGGTGACAGAATGTAGTTTTGGTTTCACATAATGCTCAGCATGGTATTTGAGAAACGTGAATATTTGGGAGTGTGATTTCTGAGACTCTGGTCAGCCTTCACGATTTCAGAATGAATTCCCACCCAAACCCGAGAGTGCAGTATCGTCGGCCCATGCAGCCACACGTACGGCGTGTCTCACCAAGGCAAGACGGTGAAATGCTGCTCCAGCTCCCTTTGTCCAGACACAACATCCTGGAATCGCCCAACAAATAGTAGCCACTGTTGCAGTGATACGTAACAGTACTGCCAGCAAAAAAGTCCTCAGCAGAATAAAATCCATTTTCTAAAGGTGGAGGCACTCCACAGCTGATTCCTGCAACATGAGTGAAAAGAGGGCACAGACATTAGCAGAGCAGATACAGATCAACTTCAGAATAATTCCACATTAGAGCCACCACCGGAGATTTTTTCCTCTGCTTCTGCAGAACCCCATCACAACAGGAGGACCCAGACCCTTTCAGAGGTAGGTAATTGATTCCAGGTCCAGTGGAGGGTCTTGTTTCTTGGGCAGTTGTCAATCAGAGAGTGAGCAGGCCTCTCAAGCCCCTGCTATTCTGCTGGGTCTGCAGGAGACGTGTGTGACTAAGATCTGAGCAGATACCTTTCAGTCACAGGTCACTTCTAATAATAATCAATGATTCTTGGTGAGTTTTAAGGAAAAAGGAAAAGTAAGTTTGCCTCCACGGAGGTTCTTCTTGACTGAAAAACCAGCTCAGTGTTAACTGTGAACACTGCCAAACCAGCTAACAGGTTACGGCTAAGAGGTTACTGTACTGGCCTGAGACCAGGGAGTGCATGAACAATGGAGAAATTGGAACTGACCTCACATGCTACCTTTGACTTTGGCCACAGTAAAAAAGCCTTTCTGATCCCAGCTGTGCCAGCAGAAGCCATCACGGTACACGCCTGCTGGAAGTTGCTATTTTTTCTAGCAAGACCTGCTTTGGTGCATCTTCATTTCAATCAAGATGACATGAACTTATTCCAACAGCTACAGAGCTCATCTTTGCAACTACATGGATTGTAGCATTTAGAGACTGGGGTAATGGAACCCAAGTACTTGCTGCAGAGGGATAGAACGGAAGAGCCTGTAACAAAGACAGGCTGTTGGGAATGGGGACCTATGGTTTTGGGGACCTTCGGTTTCCTGGTGGGTGAAGGCAGTGATTACTAAGAGTCCTTTCTGTACCACACCTTCCACAATGAACCCTGTAGATCCTCATGCAGAAAACAGCTATCTTCCACCCATGTTCATTCATCGGGTACTTGTGGAACAGACTGAGAAAGGCTAGTGGGAGAGTCTGGCCCTCGTTCACTCAGCGTGTCGGTGGCAGGTCAGCCCTGTTCTGTCTGAGCTCTGAGCTGAACAGGTAAAACTGCCTGGCCCAACACAGAAAACCAGATGGCAACACTGACAGGAGTCTGGTGGCTTGTCACTGGTAACACACCAAGAAAGAGCAAAGCTGTCTCTGCCAGTGAACTTATGCTCTGCCCAGCAGGACTTGCTTCTGGATAAATCCTCACATCCATGCTATTTCTGCAGAAGAGGAGACAGATCCTGGATTTGTGCTATGAGCAGCTGAATAAAGAGGAAGACACAAAAATCACATCAAATCTAGAACCAACTATTTTAAACAAATTTGATGATTTTTCCCCCAACTACTGATCAACTTTGAGACCCTGCAATACCTACTTCTGGAGTTAATTTACTATTCTGCTGCAATGAAAAATATAGTCAGCTCCAACACATGGAACTGCAGTCACATGTACAGTCACAGCAGAGGAGAACCAAAGGAAAAGAGGAGGCAGGAGCAGGAAAGCAGGACTCAAAGAACCTTGGCCACGTGAATGTATACCACGCAGTTTCTTAGAAGAAATCCTTTAAGTGTTGGAGCACTTCTGAGTCCTGACAGAAATATCTGCTGCTTTAAAAAAAAAAATTACTCTGTAATGTACTAATGCCAAGGCTTTTACTTCAAAACAGAGGTTCTTGGTGACACTTAAAAATCACACGCATATTCTAGCATTTCCTGTGTATCTTCCACACTACTGGTACCACTGGGGAGGATAGTCTGGAGTATCAGACTACTGATCCAAACAGACTCATTTCTGCCGTGGGAGTTAGAAACTGACTGAAAAAAGGTGGCAGAATCCGATTGCGGTATAGTTCCTGCTCAGTAAAATGTGAATTTTGTCTTAAGCATATATATATGCTGTAACATGGATGGAATCATGTGCATCATAGCTGCAGGGATAAACAGGCCATGAATAGTGACAGGGTCCAAATAAAAGCTAGGGTTTCCTAATCCTGCCAGTCCATTGAGGCAACTCACTTTCACAGCGGGGAAAAGGCCGTGTCCACTGTCCCAGGTTAAGGCAGTGCTGAACAGAGTTTCCCACTATCTGGAAGCCTGGGTCACAGGAAAGGCTCACTTTTGACCCTGGCTTTAAATCAGCAGAAGAGGCCCGCAGATGTGGTATGGATCCTTGCAAAGATGGACAGTCTGTGGACAAAATATATGCATAAAGTAAGAGATACATCTGCGTGCTGAAACAAGTAAATTTGTTATCTGATTGTTTGATCCTGTATAAGTTTATCCAAGAGACAGCTTTGGGAACTGTTATGTATGCTACATCCTGCTTGGGTTCAAAGGGTTTTGAGAATCACCAACACATAACACCAGAATCTGTAGGAAAAGAGGTGAGGAGGCAGTAGGTATTTTAATACCATCCAATTATTTTTAGAATAAAAGACAAGAAAAACTTCTTTCTGACCCAACCCC